GGGTGTGGGGTGATTTGCACAGCTGTACAGCCAGGACCAGTGTGCACCAGTGGTGGCAGGAGAAGGGTTGGGAGCCCATTTCACTCCCCTTCTTGGCTCTTCTGCTTAAATTGAGCGTGCCCTTACTAACAAAAGGTGTGTTCACTTGCTACAAGCCAACACAACGCAGAATGCAGATCGTGTTTGTGACCCAGATGGAAACGGTGGTTTCACCTATCTGAGCAAATTAAACAGTGCTGGAACTGGATCATCCTCTCTGCTCAGGGTGGGAGTGTGCTCCTGGTGCATTTACACCCTGTGCCAGCTCCACCACGGAGTCAACAGAACCTCAAGGCAGCACTGCAGCACTGCACCTTTCTCATGGGGGCAGCTGTCATGGGACCACCCTGTTTTGGAGACTGAGAGACTCATCCCCCCAGCTTGTTGCACACCACAGTATTCCTGAACATGTTTAATTTAAAACTAGTGCAAGTTTGGCCAAAGTCAGCTCTGAACCAGAAATGAATGTAGCTGTACTTAGGCAGTGTCTGAGCCCAAGCTAATAAAACCTGCTGAGGGGCAGGATGTATTAGCTCGGGTTCAGTGCTGTGCTAACATGGCTATATGGCTTCCAGATGGCTCAGAATTTAGTCAGAGCTATTGCCTGCCAAAGTCTATATATATGTGTCAATATAAATACATATTTCCTAAGTTCCCCCACTATAAGGATAGTAATGAAGGTGAAATTGCCCCTCATAGTTTGACTTCTAAATGCCAGATCCATCAAGAGGTTTAAAGGTAACACCCCAGCAGCATCCTCCAGAGTACTTGATAGCTACCATGGTCATGTAAGTGAGGTGCCAAGGTTGTCTGGGGTCAGCTGTAGGATAAACTGATGACATTTAGTGTGGTAATGGTGAGGCCAAAACAACATCAAATATACATGAAGTACAAGTACAAGTACATGAAGAGGCCAGAGTGCTGCCACAGGCAGCCATGGCTTGAAAGCAAACCAGCCACTCCATGCCACACCAAGAAAGCTGCCTTTCTTGGAGAAAGACACCTTGGAAGATCTAGGCTAAAAGGAAGAGAGACTAAAAAAGAGAGACTGTGTTTTTCCGTTTCTTGCCCAGCATCTCTGGAGAACTTCACCAATCCTTCATGCAGCATGTTGAGTTAAGAAACAAATTCCCTTCCAGGGGACACACACCAGAGAGTACCCAAATTCATGCTGAAGGGAGAACTGGCCTTCCACAGGCTTCACCTGGATTGAGGAATCTATTTTTTTCAAGTTTGATTTTGCTCTGAGGGAAAAAAACATACTTGAAATAAGAGCCAGTGTCAGGGAGCTGGGGGTTCCTGCTGCTTGCCCACCTCAAAAAGAAGGAAAGCCCAAATAAACCTTCTATGGCACTATGTGATAACAGAAATCTTAATCTTCTTTGTTTTTTCAAAGTTGACACCAGTTTCCTCCCCTCTGGTGTGCTGGTAGATTTGAAATAAGTGAGAGCTGCTGTAACCTAATAAAAGGCACAGAACTACATGACTGTGGTGCTACTCAGGATGTTGTATTGGGAGCTGTGTATTTAGAATCTATTTTATTCTGCAGATCACCACCAATCACATTGCACATTATCTCCCTCTCCCATTCTCTGTAAACAACTCTAGGTTCTCCTGAGCAATGACAGAAAAAGGATTACTCCTGTAGCTGTTTATACCCCTTCAGCAATAGTGATATTCAGACCACTGCTAATGTCTACTTATAAAAATGCTAAATGTTAGGACAAAGATGCTGATTCACTAGAACAAATTTTAAGTCTTAGGAGACGTGGTGTATATATATATGGGGAAAGGCTGCATGGAGCTTTTCAGTTTGTTTGTGCATCTCTATTGATTTTATGCTGCAATTCATCTAACACCTATGCATCCATCAGCATGAAAAAGATCAACTCTCATTTGAATCACAACAGAGAGTTTTGGTGTCAAAAGCAGGGAATCAGCCAAAAGGGGATGCTGCAGAATGCTGAGGATACACTAAAAAAGAGAATCAAAAAAACCTGATCCTTAATTTACCACAGCCTCAGGGAAACAGTGCATTATATGTTGACAGCTTCCATATGTGTCATGCAAACCTTTATTCTTACTGTTCAAAATAAAATGTCCCATTAAGAGAAAAAGACTACATTTCATGCTAAAAGGAGACGTATGATACCAAATACTGTCCTAAAGAAAAAATAAAACACATTCCAATGTCATGTGGCTTTTTGTACTTTTTTTCAGGATTTTCAAAGGGGGAAAAACATGAATTGCAACAACCAGACATTTTTCCAAAGATTTTTTTCACACTGTTATATTAAATAGTTATTTTTTTTTTTATTCCTTATGTAGACATTATTATTATTATTAGTAGTAGTAGTAGTAGTAGTAGTACACGATCTTCAGGGTTGCAAAGAAATATATCTACACAAGTAATTGCCTAAAATGTCTCTGATAGGTAAGTGTAAGAAAGACTACTTTTAATGATAGTGATAACAATATAGTAGCACCCTGTAATCTCAGCAACTATTGGTGCCCCATATTGGCTGTATGAATAAATCTAAAAATTAGTATGTATTTACAGACTTGATTATCCAGGACCCCAGTGTAGCACCGGAATAACTCGATTAGGTATCCTCTTACTTAACAGAATCCCATTTAGTTTAATGATCTGTTACAATAGAAAGGTTAATGGATCAGGTCTTATCATAAATATCTCCCCAGTTATGGGGACAGAAGTACTATACCTCCTGTAAACTCGGCTGACAGCTGGAAGCATGAAGAAATGTGCTTCAGACCTGCATGGCCTGAAGTTCACTCGAACCAAGGGAAGGTTTTTCGTTTGATTTGAAGCAGTCCCCGAGCTCTCACAGAGAACTGGTTGGAGGAAAGGTGGGTGCGGTTCTCTGGGTTACAAACCGAGTCCGCTACATACTGAGTTGTATAAAAATTCATGTTCCATCTGTACACAAATGTGTCATTCAACTGCTGGTGTTTCTAATAGTTTCCAGAAGTAACAGCAACCCAATAAAAATAATCAAAGCCTTAAGAGCAAAATTGTAAGAGCAAGAAAGGATGATTTTGCTTGTGCTAAGCTGAAGTGATGCAGCACAGGTCTATCCGATACTTTTGAAAACTTTAGCTCCTAGAAGTGAACTGCTTGTATGAATAAACTGAAAAAGGGAATAGAAAGTGAGGGAAAAAAGCAAATTCCTTCATAAGTCAAATAGATAAAGTGCAAAAGGTAAAGTTGTTTGTGGTTTTGGAATTTAAAATAGAAAATTATCTATCACCTTTCTGATCTTGGGAGTAGGACAGTGGAAATATTTACGTGAGCTATTCTTTTACAATTTCTTTCAGTGTATTAACCAAAAGGTTTCCTTTTACCCATACAAACTTTCCTGTAGTTTACCAAATGGATGTAATTTTGAGGCTAGAACTAACAAATTGCTGGTTGCAGTGTTTCTTAATGAATGCCTTTCATGGATATTTAATTTTCAACAATTTCTGTGTTCAAATCTCCTGAAAACAAAAAAAAAAAAGAAAAAAAAAAAAAAAGGTCAAGGATGGAGTTTATTCTGAAGCAGGAAATCTGGCCAGAAGCCAGCCCACCTAATTTGGATTCCTGACGGAGGTGTCACCTCCCCAGCATTGTAAGAGCTTTAAAATGGCCTCACTAAACCAGGCTGCCTAAGAGATCTACTCCCCGTGCAGCCCAGGCTCAGGAGTGGTGCCTTTGAAGGCTGGGTGAAGGCAGCAACAATGCAGTCTACTTTGCATTGGTGCCCCCCTTGTCCACTGACTGTACTCTGACTGTACAGGTAACATTAGATGAAATGGCCATGAGCTTCAGTGCAAGCCTGCCAGAATCTTTTTAAGCATCCTGCCTAAAGGACAGATTTTTGCTTAACTCTCCAGCAGCCAGGGCACTTGCTGAAAAAGTATGAGACGCTTTGTTCACAGCCCAGCTGAGCCTGAGGGAGAATTTAGATCAAAACCAAGGAGAAAATGTAGCCAGAACAAAGAAGGAAAAAATATTAATCCTTACACCAGGGTTTCTTCTGCTACTCATTAACATTATGTCAGCTAAGGTTTAGATTAACTGGCATCATAGATCCCTTGACCTCTGACATAAAAAGCTTTTTGACAAAAAGAGTTAAATCTGAGTTTGCTTGTAAAGTGGTATGGATTAAGTGAACCATCACAGAAAAAACAGTATATAAGTCTCTTTTTATTAGTTTTTAAAGAAGTCTAAGTAAAGAACATTTATTCTAAAAATATTGTTTTGCATTGAGAGGCATTTTCAAATTTTATGAAGAGCATAACTATGAATAATGCAGTAGCCCAGTAAATTTGTACTATAACCCTCATAGCTCAAAACTTCAGTTTTGATAGTGGCTTTTTTCTAACTTTTAGCTAACTAAAATTTTCAAGATTTCAAATTTTTAACCCATTTCAAGATAAAAAACATAACTTTTTTTCAAATGAAAGAAAACCAGTTCCCACATTACCCTATTGTTACCCTTTCTTCAACATCAGTATCAACAGCTGTTATACCTTCTGAATGGCTCTCAGGTTTATTTTATAACTTTCACCATGCTTCAGCCCAAGAAGTTCTGCAAATCTGCCTGAGTTTCCTAAATGTAATCATCAGTAGTAGGACATTAAAATGGAACTCAATTTTGTATTTAGGAGCTCTTATCCTGAACCCAATTTCACTTGATTATGTTAGTTTTATAATTGACATATTCTAAAGAATTGAAATATAGAAATATATTGAAATATATTGAAATATATTGAAATATATTAAAAATAGTAGAAATTTGCAGACCACAACAACAGTAGGATAAGGTTTGTGTTATTTGTTTATAAACTCTCAGTGAATTGTCACGCAGACAAGTTAAAAAACACCCATCCAGAAAAAAAGTCCCAGCAAGGTTTGGCAAGAGCACACATGGCGTTATGATCTATAGTTTCGATCTTACCGTCCCCAGTTTCAGCGCAGAGTTGCAAGCCCAGGTTGTTCTGTGGATTAATCACCCAGTGGTTGCTGGTCACAGTAATGTCAAAGACAAACCAGCCCACATCAGAAGCTTGAGCCTTTCTTGTGTCTAACAGGAACAAGTCTGCATCCCTAAGTTAAAGAAAATAGAGAGTCAAGGCATTCAAATATTTTTACCTTTGTCCCTAATTTTCTTGCTGACATTAACTTCTTGGAGTCCAAGTTAATAATGCTTTGACATATCCTCATTATGACACAGTACAGCATGTGCTGTAGGTAACAAGTAGTTGTTAAGTATAATGCAGGTATTTCCCCTAAGAGGCCTTTCTGAAATGAGTTTCAGCATGTAAAATCTATAACTCTGGAAAATCTGAAAAATACGACTTCCTGATATAACTACACAAAATACATAACTGAGGCTGTGTATAAAAAAATTCATCTTTCATCTTTCAACATCAGGATATATCATGAAGATTCACTTTTATAAACTTTTCAGCATAAAAGATAAAAAAATGTCAAAATCGCTTTCCAATTTCAACTAAAACTCAGAGGCATAGCATTGCTGAAAAGATCTGTTGTTAATAACGTGACGGCAGCTGTATCCTATGACAAAACATGAATAGATGGCAGTTCAGACCGTTTCCTATTACTACAGATGTTTAGAAAATAAGTCTCTATATCAAAGCAGAAATTACATATCCATTCAATAATATAATTATTACATTTTAACCCTCAGTTTCCTGGTATATTTTCAATTTGGTTCCCATGAAATCTTCCAGTAATTCAGAAGGGCTGCTCAGGGGAGTTAGTATAATTGTGTTACCAAATTTTTAGCATGGGTCATTTATTTGTTCTGTTTTCACATATCTTGCGACACAATTGGTTCCAGATCATCATCTGTATTACAAATAATTTACTACAATGACCAGACAAAGCCCAAGATATTTAACTCTCATCAGTTGCTTCTACAAAGCAGCATGCATTATTAAAAACTGTTTTCACCATTTAACCTTTTAAACCTAAATCTATAGTTATAGAAACCTATTTCTTTTATGCCATAAACAGTAGCCAAAACAATAAGATACAAGGAAAAAATGATTTATTCTAATTTTTTACTGTAAAAGGCAGCTAAAGGCAGACTTGGCTCACATAGATCTCAGAATTGTACTGTTGCCTTACAGACAGAATGAATATATGCTTAAAGGGGAAATACAGACCGTAGGAACAGGCTCTTCATAAAAGTGGATTTAAAATAGCTAGTGTCTTGTCACTTTATTCTTACAGTGTTTAATCACAACGACACCCTAGAAAGTTCCTGTCTTATCTAAACATGGTAAATGCACCTAGAAGGCCTGATAATGAAAAAAGCATCAAATGCACTTTTTGAAACTCTGGTTGCTAAATACTGAGCAAAATAAGACCAAGGGAACTATGACAAACATATGTTTACTTACATGTGAGATATATCTGAAAAATCAGGCTAAAGAGCTCGGAAATTATAAAGGAAGGTAATTTAAAAAAAAAAATAAAGGAATTGAAAGAGCTTTTTTTAAAGTCACTTTTTTTTGTTCTGTTAAAGGATAATCTTTTGCTGGGGTCTTATCACTTCCATTCTAGTAGAACTGTGCTGGTGACCACACAAGGAGAAAACCTACATTCCCCCTCTGGAGTTAACGTGAAGAAAATCTTACAATTCAAAAGAACCTGACATGCTATGCTAGCACTGAACAAATTAACAATGTCCCACAAGCTCGTAAATAGTACCCTCTGGAGCCTTAAATGCCAACTTTTTTCTTCTAATAAGCATTTTTATCAGAACTTTAAACATGAAAAGTTTAATTCTGATTGTAATTGTCTTTGAGATGTTTATTTAGAAGTACTTTTGCATCACTCAGTAGGTTTAATATAAAACTGTAGAAGTGTTTGGAATATAAAATACTACAATACCATAGTGAAATAATTCCACACTTGTCTTTTCACCTTCTAGAATACATAATTGTTTTTTCATATAGAGTCTTTCCATTCCAAATCCAGGACAGATACCTAATGTTCTAAAAGTCAATGTTTCCCATGCCAAATCAGAATAAGGCACTACTAATGGTATAGTCCAGAAATTCCTATGAAGGACAAATTTTTCCTCAATGTGACTTTTTTGCTTTGTCCTGCAGCAAAAACTCAAACTAAAGTACTTTGGTATTGATACGTCAATTACTTTTCTGTCACCCTGCAAGTATAGTGATCTAGCTAAGGTAATAAACTTTAAAGAGACTTTAAAGATTGCTTTTACTCATTAACTCAGCAAATGAAACAAAAATGAGTTGGGGATACCTAGAGAAAACCAGAACAGGTTCCTGAGAACACATAGAAGAATAGAGAAATGTATCTGGACCAATACTAATGGTTTAGCCCACATAACATCATGTTACCACAGAAATTCAAAGTACTTGCGAGGGAAAAAAACAACTTCTTTCACAACTGATACAGATACAGGGTAAAAACCTGATCCCTGAGAAGGCAGCAGAAGCTCTGGGATCAGGGTTCCCCCATTAGCTTATGTCATTCATTCATTCCAACTTCTCATCACATTTTGTGACATTTTTAATTTTAAAATTCTTCTTTATTCTGTGCAATCATACTTAAAATTAAAAACAGCTTAAAATTTGGGCTGAATTTTAAAATGTATTTCTATTTTAAAAATAGCCCGCAATACATAATAAAGACCTTAAAGCATTATGTCATAAATAGGCTGAAATGTAACAGTGGATACATTCAGGCAGGATACAGCTGATTTGCTTTGTGTTTACAGAGGCTGTTTAAGTTTAGTGATTACAGTCTGGTGCCCAGTGATCAGTTTTCTACAGGAGAAATGCTACCACAGACGAGAATTTCACCAAAGAGGCTGCAGGCAGAATGTCTAAGAAGCTCCACATCTCCTGGGGCACTTAAGGAAGTAAAGGTGGAACAAACCATCTGCATGTTCCTTGAAACCCAGAACAGTTCTCAATCAGATCAAATAATCATTATGGTGTAATAGGCCATGACAATAATGCTGTTTAGCCTCATTCTGGAAGCCTGCTTTTGTATCTTACTCCCACTTGAGCATTCCCTAATGGGGGAAAAGCCCCCAGGGTTTACTTAAATTAGTGGCTAGCTGCCACCAAATCATGAACAGCGATTTGGCATGTTGGGCAATATTTGCCTTTGTCTTGAGAATAAATCCAGGTAGGAGTCCGTGGTGGGGCTCCATAGGAAGTCAGCCTGCTATGGCCACGCTGTACATTCTTCCTTAGACTGAATAGAAAACTACAATCCCAAAGGCTGGAACTTCAGCAAACTCCAAGGGAATTAAACACACACACACTTCAGTAGCCATGCTGCCATAGAGACAGAAAATGCCTGAGACTACAGCACAACCCTTAGTATGCAACTTGGAAACCCTGAACCTGGGCACTCCTTCCCTGAAAGCATAGCAGGACTGTGTTTGGCATTGCAGTGCCCTGTCAGACACCTGTGTTTCCTGTTCAAAGCAAAGAAGGGTGGAGGAGCAGTTGTGCTATGGAATGTCACTACTGAAGGCTGTGGGACATTACAGGATCATAGAATCAGAGCAAGGTTTGGGATGGAAGGGACCTTAAAGACCATCAAGTCCCAAGCGCCTGCCATGGGCAGGGACAGCTTACACTAGGGCATGTGGCTCAAAGCCCCATCCAGCCTGGCCTTGAGAGCTTCCAGGAATGTGGCATTCACAACTTATGTAGGCAGCATGTTCCAGTGTCTCCCCATCTTCACAGTTCTCTCACTCTCCCATTCTGTAGTTGCAACTTCTAGAAATTTTGCACCTAAAACTTCATGTACATATGTAGAACAAGCCTGAGGTGACAAAAAGAAAATCACAAGTGAAATCTGGGCCCAAAAGCAAAATATGTGGCTTTGTTGGAAAAAAAAATAAATCTGGGACCTCATCTTGGGGTCTCCAGTCTGGAGACAGCAAGGGGCTTGTGGAAAAATGTTATTGTTTCTAATTTGAACAGTGAAGAGCTTGTGGTCTTTTTCCATCCTGTTTCACTGAGGCAGTTGTCTATAATATCTCTACATATGAGTAGAAGCTTTCAAAATCAACAATAGGAGAGAAACACTAAGTCTACATCTGAAGCTTCTGTAGTTACACTGATGAAATTAGATGCAATGATATATCATTGCCTGTTCCTCCTTTCAGCATCATGCTTCCATTAGAAGACATGGGGCTTTTATAACTGTAAATGCAAATATAAAGCATTTATAAATTTCTGTTTGTGCCTTGAAAGAACTCAAAAGCATTGTTTAATGCCTTTGCAGACACAGCTGTCATTTGAACAAGTCAGATAATATTAACTGTGATTTTCATCAGAGTGGTAAACAGTTTTGCTTCCTCTAAAATAGAATACAAACCACCTACTGTGAAAATATCCAAAAACTTCAAAAGAAAACATGAAAAGTATTAGAACAACTAATTTTTCCCATTAGTTCATCAAAAAAAATCTGAGTTCTCAGGTGAAGAGTTTTCATCACCTTAGGCTTCACCTGTGCTCTTTAAAAAGATGTGTTTTGTTCCTTCCTGCTTCATTCCTTCTTCCAAGAAGTTTTTTCTAGAACCTATGTTAAAAGAATTTTTGGGAAGCTGAAGATAGTGGTTAAAAAAAACCCAAAAAAACAAAAAAAATCCCACATTGTTTTCTTCAGGCCCAAATTTACTAAGAAAGCAAAAGTTATTCTGGAAGGATGAGTGCTTTCCCTCCTGTTGATTCCATTGGTATAAAATGAATCCCTGTTTTTAGCCATAAATATTTTATAACTTGATGTTCAGAGATCTGACCAGGAGGGTAAAAACTCAGAGTTCTGTGGGCAGAAAGATTTGAATTCTGGCTGGCCCAGCCTTCAAGCTAACTTCTGATGGGGTTTTTATTTCCTCCAGATTACTGCAAGTTTAAGATGACATTTTCTCTGGTTTTGCCAAACCTTCGTGGGATAGAACTGTTTTATCAGCTCCAAGATGAAGAAGAGTTTTGTTTATCTTAAAACAGAACTTTTTTTCCCTCACTTTTCTGAGAAAAGACGTAAACTAATTTAATTTCAACCCCCACATATTGGGTCTATGTAGTTTTTCAGGAGCAGCTTGGAATTTGTACTAGTTTTCAATCATAATTTTCAGGTATTTAGCTACTTTGCCTGGTGAAATCTGATAATTTACTGAGATCTCGTAGAGTCTTGGAAACATGTCATACACAGACAAACTCAAATTCAGGGATTTGCTCATGTGCAACATCATATGTGGCACTTAGGGACATGGTTTAATGGTGGATTTGGCAGTATTAGGTTTATGGTTGGACTGAATCTCAAAGATATTTTCCAATCTAGATGATTCTATGATTTTTTTTTTTTAGTTTTCAGTTATGGTGAGCAGCATGTGTTAAGTATGCATATGTCATCCTAAAACTAGTGCTGGAGTTTTAATTACCTTCTGCAGGATTGTCAAATGCAAGCAAAAAAGCTATGCTTCTTCAAAAGCAATCAAAGTTATACCATCTGTCTTTCTCTAGGGAGCTAAGTGAATCTTGGCTTGTAGTACCTCAGTGTCAGTAAATGGTACATTTCCCAAAGCTAAACACTTAGACTGCTCATGGGACTCCTCCATTTGCTCACTGAGAACATGAACCCTCACCCATTCTGTGCATGGGCAGATTATTTGGTGAACTTGGACATGAACCTGGAACAAATTACACTTAAGGTAAGTTTTATTCTTGTTCAGTGCCCAAGAATTAATACCTCACAAGTGGTAGCAACGATGCCTTGTCAGGTGTACACTTATGATGGATTTTTGCCTAACTCCCTAATGGCAAATGGGATGATATGCAACCTGTGGTGAGTCCATGCCAGGAGGGTACCTGTTGGGATACTCCTTGATGATCTGATATATGCTAATCTGAATGGTTTCATTCTCAAAGCGGCTGTTGCTCCGATCTTTGTATATCCGGAATTCGGCTGCTGTCACTGCCTCTCCATGAGGGATCTGAGTAAGGTCAAAGCGGAATTCCTTGTAGTGCCTTCGGTGGTGGGAGAAGTCCTTGTCCCTTTCAACTGTGAGAAAAAGAATTGAATGCAAATTAAAGATGTAAAACAAACGCCCATTTCCCATGATTAATGGAGCATTCCCTCTGCTTGGGAGTAAACAAACATGACAATATAAAACTGTGCAAATAATAAAACCACAAGCTCAGACATACTTCCAGCTAAAGGAAATTCCACCAACCCTGTATCTTCAGTTTAAAAGGAAAAAAACCTCCGTGGCTTTTATATAAATTCCAGAAGCTGGAGTGGAAAGAATATAAAAAAAAGCTGAAAGGGGGCATGTTATAAAGTAACTAGAAATATGGACAAAATAAAAACTGTGAAAGGATTTAGGACTTCAGTGTAGCCATAAGCACAGCAATAGCAACGTCAGAACTATAGATGGCTTTGGAAAACACTAATTGCCTCTAATAACCAGGCTGATGAGAGGAATGCAGCTCATTTCCGTTTAACATAATAAAAGTGGTACTAAAGCGCACTGCAACAACTATATAGTTAAGAAGCAATTAAATCATATAAATTAACACAAGTTGTACTCTAATGGCACGCACGTCATCTTTCCAGTGGTCAGAAGAAGGAACTGTGGGTCGGGGCCAAGTGGTTCTGGCAGCCCAGCAGCACAGAATGTACAATTCAGGCTTAAACCTGTTCTTGGTGGGCAGGTGCAGCTCCCACTGCTTCTGACACTGCCACAAATTAAAATAAAAAAGCAAGCCTCATTATTGCTTAATTGAGGTTTCTACAGAATTTTAAGAGGAACACACCAGAGGATTTTAATTTACAGCTGGCTTGGCTTTCCATTGTCTGCTGCAGTTCTGATTCTGAGTAAGGAGCAACTTTTGCAATGGAATATATGTTTTGATGTGACAACGGAAACTACAGGCCATAGCACTGGCTGATGATCACCTTATGGGATTCATACCTCACATTTTAAGGATGTGGAAAGGAAAATGATCCATGGTTTCCACTTCCACAGAGTACAATGTATCATTGACCTATGAATAAACTGTGCTCCGTGGGAAGACAGAATTTCTCCCTTCTGGAAAAGTTCTACCTGCCTCTTGACATATGTACTTTGTTTTACTGATGATGGACAAAGTCTGAAACTCAGAGTTAGGATTTTGTTTAGATAACCAGCTAAACATTTATGGCTGCACTCAGCTTCCCTAAACACTATCTCCTGAAACCCCAGCTCTTTTATTTCATTTTAGTCCTCAGATCTGAGGGAGGAGCAATGTCAGTTTTGGAAAAGCACACATTTGGATTACTAAATGCTACATGTATAAATAATGTGTAAATTATTACAATATTTATACTTATATATATATACATCCCTCCCAAATAATTTTTTCTACATACATAATGTGTATATGTTTGCCTGTATATACATATGATTAAATGATTTTATATATAAAACTACATATCTGTATTATTACAATTTATATGCTACCTTAAAAAATAGAAATGCACTAAAAGGTAAAAAATAATTTTGGGCTTGCCTTATGAGTGTATAGTTATAGACATATTAAAGAGACAGCTATTAAACAAAAAGTACTTAACACTATTTTCAGAGCAGTAGTTACTAGTTATGTCACCTGTGGTCATGTAACTAGTCCTTTACAGTGTTCTTCCCTATCACCTTTTCAAAAATGCAAACTCTCCTTGCCTTCATTAGCTTTTATTTTGTTTTTTCCTTTTTTAAGTACAAATCTGTGTTGCCTTAAGAACCACCAAAAATAAAATATCTAGGCTATAAGAACAGTTTATCTTCAGTGAAAATGAACTTTCTCCTGGCTGACAAAAGGAAAATTGTCTGCTAACTGTGAGGCTTGCTTGGCTCAAGTGCATATTTAGCTTACATGGGTTTGCCATCAAACGTTATGTATGTAGAAAAAGTAAAGCAGAAAAGCAGCAGAAGCATGTAAACTGGCTGCTCTGTACCTGAAGATGAATGGGCTGCTACTGAAGAGAAACAGGATACAGTCTATTTAGCAGCTCCACTGCCCGTTTCTAAACTGTGAGATATATACAGAGATCTGGAATAAGGTTTGGAATAAGGTTTTGCTTTTTTTTTTTTTTAAATACCCATGTAAAGCCTTTCATTTCAGAGGAACTTGGCAGAGATTAGCATATGCAAAAGCACTCAGCCCAGAGGGTTTTTTCTAGTACAAAGAATCTGCTGAAAGTTTCTGAGGTTATAACTGAGCATTTGAAAACTGTAATGGAACAGATATGTCAATAACCTTCAAATAAGAACTATATATATTTAAGACAAACTTAGTGTCTTAGTGCACACCTTTCTGCTGTCTCTGGAAAATATTTTTTCAAAAACTATTTGCCAGCATGCACGGGTAACTAAGCACTCACTACCCACTATGAATAAATATTGAATAATCAGACACTGAATAAAAGGTTTAATAATGCCATACTCCTGGACTGATTGATTTTTATTTGGGTTTGAAGCTTCCTTTTGTCTAGTTTCTACCAAGTACTTTCTAATTAGTAACCTCAGTTTAGAAACAGTAGTTATCTCCCTATATGTTATCATTTGTACAGAAACCTCCACAATACCCCCAACAGTATCAGTGGGGATCTCTCAGGATCACTCACAACTGCTAAAGAATACTGATAGCCACTTTCTGGTAAGCCTCCAATTAATTGTTTACAACTCACACAGATAGTACTTATCTGTGTTTCCACCAAGACAGACGTAGCACTGTCATCTGAAAGGGACACAAGTTCAAAATTTCTTTGGTTCGAGACAGCATTTACAGGCAGGCCAGGACTTCAGAGTGGCAACAGCCTGCAGATGTGAAGAGTTGTAGGAAACAGACACTGAACAACACTGCAGAAACACCCCAAGCCCGAGGAGGTCCCACTCCCTGCAATGAATCCAGAATTTCTATCTGCAAATTTATACCAGCCAATGTATAAACCAAAACAAAAAAAAACCAAAATTACATACAAACATAGATGTAAATGTAAATACAATTTAAAATCTTGCATTATACAGCAGACTGCAAAAAAACAGTGATGGTGATGTTGCAATAATGACCAGTGGTTTGAATGGTAGCCAAGTTAAAAAAGTAAAATATTATGTAATGATATTGAAGATTTTATTACTGAAAATAATACACAAATCTTGATCCTTTCTGCATCCAATAAATGCCTCGTCAGGCAAGACTGAATGCTCAGTAGGGTATCTGTCAGGTCCTTTGTCCTGCTGAAATGGCATGAAGCTTAGGGAGGCACCATTTCCAAAATATTTTTATTTCACAGTCAACAGGTTTTCAACACTGTCAGCCTGAAAAACACAGGTTAAGATTCTCAAGTGTTAGCTCCTTTCAGAATGTTCTCACATCATTCCAGTCATGCTCAGTACATCTGCCAAGATGCATTTCTGTGGGACTAATCACAGCATCTATAAACCAGCTGAGCAGAAATCAGTAAGTATTCTTTTATTGGAGGAATATAGTTTTTCTAAGTAAAAAATAAGTAGAATATTAGGGTAAACGCTGATTATGAAAAAAATCTTCCTTTGCTCTCATTGGTCAGGATTCTTAGCATTGACTCCTAAAGATGGTGTTTTTATACCACCTGAAACTAATATATGCAGCACTACAGTTACATCAGACAAATCGTGGCTCAGGGGAATATCACAAACACCTGTGTGTAAGAATGATATTTTCCACCCATGTGGCAAGCTGATGAAACATTCACACTGTATTAACACTAAGTCCAGCTCTAAGAAGAAAAAAGTCAAATTTACAGAACAAAGGTATTTTGGAAAAAAGGTCTTCTTTACACCAAAAGAAAATGGTGTAAATGTCATTCACTAATTTTCAATAACAAAACTGTTTATTTTATGGGAAAGAAAATAACAATTAAAAAACACCCAAAGCACTTATATGGCTGTATAACAAGAAATCAGTATTTTAGAAATTCAGCAATAAATATCTGATTATGTTGGCTGAGCTTAAAAAAATATAAAAAACTCCTAGCAATGAGATTAGGTCAGGTCATAGTGCATGAGGGACTATTAGATGTGCTCTTTCATTAGTGGTTATCTCCACACTGATATGTGCTTCACTTTTCCTGAAGATGTTGGTGCGTGGCTGTGACACATAGGCAAAGTGAAAGCTGCTTTGGCAAATGGGTAACAAACCAAAGATATGCTGAAAGCCATGTTATAATAAGCTGATTTTACAACATAGGATCCCAGGATGCCAACTGGATTTACAAACAGTGAAGCCTCACAAATCAAATTAATGTCACTTTTTAACTATTAAATATATGTGCCAAGGCAAAATGGAGGGTCTTATAGACCTGTGTAACTATAAAGGGTCATTTACACTAATCTCACTGAATTTCACTGTTTGACTCAAAATTCTTTGTATAAGTATGAAGTAAACCAGTCAGTTTTAATCACTCCCAGGTGATAAAGTTTACAGTAAGCTGATACACTACAAATGACACTCATTTACATCTTGAATATAATGAAATGATAGTTTATCTACAGTGAACACTTGTGGTTATCTGACCAAAACAGGTCAAAGGTTCCAGGCATTTTCTCCTGAAATTACTCAGTGCTGCCTCTAATGACTGATAATTGAAAGCAGAGACTGGAAATATCAAATGTGGTAGGTGACAGATAAGCAACAGATTAATGCAAGTACTCTGTTACAGGACACTGAAAGGTCAGAGGCCCTAGGAATCAGCTATTGTGCTACTGTGAAAAGACAGACATCAAATAGCTGTTTACCTCATTCTTGCTCTTCTCTCTCATTCAAATTCCAGTATCATAGATGAGACTGTTTAGTGACTCACCTTTCATAAATTAAGGCAACAAATGTTTTGTAGGGTGTGTGGACAGGTGAAAAGTGATTCTAGAGAAGCATACAGAGTTAAAAAAACCCACCAAAATAAAACAGCTATGCTAGGTGTAAACATTTTAATGAAAGGCATCTGAGAGAAGTTAAAGACATTCATCAGAATGTTATTCTCAGTTG